TGCTGGAGCCGCTGCTGTTGCCTGTCTACCCCTTTTTATGGGAGAAAAAATACTTTCTCCTTTTCTTCAAAGTGGAGCTCCCAGCCCTGGGATGTTTTCAGTGAGGTAATACTGTTTTGGTGGAGGACATGGGAAGGTCCATGCAGGCACCTCTCTACCCCTTCAGCTGCACTCTCCGCTTGCTGTCTGGGGTCTGCCCTGCTTTGCCATGGGGACACTGGCAAGGCTGAGGTCTCCCTAACAGCAGTCAGGCTGGGAAATGCTAAATGATGGTTTATGTGTGCTAGTGCTTGGAGCTAGATCTTGGGGGTCAGCTCTGAAATTCAACTTCCGTGATCAGATGAGGTCCCCATGGCTATATGTAAAGTGCTACACATGCACACATGCACGCACATGCACACACATATCTCTCTATATTTGGCTGCATAGTTTCAGGTCACCTACCACTTCCATCCCTTCACCCTGCAGAGAGCAGTGACTTGGGGCTTGGCCATCTGGAGGGACTTCATGCATTCACCTTCCCCTGCAGGTCTGATCCATGAAACATTTATATTCCAGGGAAGCAGAGGGCTAAGTTCAGCGTTACCACAACCTGTCTAATGAGGTCAAAGTCAAGCACTACAAGGCGTGAGGCAATTATTCATCAGCCTCTAGATTGCATTCAGACTGGCTGCAAAGCTCAAGGACCTTAGGACACTGGTCAGCTTTCCAGGTGAAGGTGGTAAGGAGGAAACCTGGGCACAAGACCAGTGTCACTGTGGAAATTCATGTCACAGGGATCCCCCTGTGAGAAATACTGTCCTCATACAGTAGTGGGGAATTTGGCTCCTGTATTAGCACCATGCAAGCCTTTGGATGGCGTTTTTTCCTTGCTGCTCCTCTGAAAACACAGCCCTGCCTCCCCTAGCGCTGTGCCCCCAGCCCCAAGTACAAGGTCTGAATGGTTCCAAGAATCAACCTCTGTCATTGCGGTGATGCTCCTGGCTGCAGCTGACTTCTCTTTACATCAACTTTTTGATAAACATCCCTACTTACCAGGCTCATGCTATAGAACAGGTATAATTTAATCCCCCTCCCCTTCTCCCCGCACTGTTGAAGACTGAGAAATTAAGTCCAACATAATCAGGGAATGTAAAAGTTAAGATCCTTCCATCCAAATGGCAGGAAGATGGTTATGCTGCCCGATGTTTTACAGCACACATTAAATGGCCTAAAGAGAAATACACTACAGGGCAGGTTTTACAAGGCAAAGCAAGAGCAGCAAAGCAACATGAAGAGCAGTGTGGCTGGAGTCTCAGCTTTTGGCATGCCTTGCTCCTACTTCTTGCAAAAGATGGTGCTTTCCCTTGACTTTTCTCCTTCATTTCACCACCCCACTCCACCCCATTGCACCAGGCCATTTGCTGTGGTCCAAATGCTCCCCTTGGCCACAGGTCTTCCTGTCTGGACATGCCTATGGGTTATAGTTGTCCTTTCCTTGGTATTTAAAGTCTCCATGCTCAGCTGGCCCTGCTCCGCTCACCAGGTAGCGCTGACTCTGCTCTGTGTCTCCTATGGGCACCCCCTGAGCTTACACCTTATTTAAAGGATCTAGTCCATTACCCAAAGGGGCTGCAGGAAGAACATGTCACATAAGGACATTTACACTCATATTTACCCCGTGTCTTTGGGAAAGGGCTAAAAAATGCCAGGTCTCACCCACTTTGACTATCTAATACCTGGTTTTGTGGCTCAGCCATGCTTGGGGTTTCTTCCCACAGCCCTGCAGGTTTCTCTGTGTCATCTCTCAGGCTTATGGGAACTGGTGAGTGAATCTCACTAGGTTTCAAGGTTATTTCGAAACCCTATTGGGAATCTGGCCAGAGTGGCTCTGACTTGCTTCCAGCCCGCCTGCCCAGGCTTCCTTCCCAGGAAGAGGAGGCTGGGGGGGCTGGTGAACAGCTAGATCTTGCCCTGACAGAGAAAATTTTCTTGTAGCTGCTTTCTCCAGCTACATGCTGGTATTTGACTGGTTGAGACCTGGCCCGTGTTGCATGTCTACCTGACCCCTCATCAGCATGGAAAACACAGAGCTGCTCTTGCTCTGTACCTAGCAAAGCTGAATTGTGTACAGTAGCTGCAGGTCAATGCAGGGGAAACGTGAAGTAATTCATCTGGCTTCATTTTACCTTTTTCTAGATTTGCTACCCTTCTAACACATCAGGGACAAGCTGTCTCCAAGAACAGAGATGCTTCACTGGGATGTGTTTTTGCAGAAATGATAGGACCTGGGGTAGGCATCCGGTGTAGTTGTGCATAGGCAGCTTGCACACTGCTGAGACCTGAATGGAGCAGTGGGTGCTGTGTCTCTTAAAGTTTTGGCTGCATTTGATAAAAAAAGAAGTTTCCCTGTCTAGCTGAATATGAGAAGAAACTTTTTCTTTAGGGGAACAGAAGTTTCTGCACCCAAAACTTCCTCGACTTTTCTGAAAAGCCCAAAGCAATTTTTTTCCTCTCAACTTCTACAGTTCTTCAACTATTGTGCCTAGCTTATAATCAGCATCTGGCCACAAATACTCATTTTAGGAACCCTGGAGAAGTTTCTGTCTTCACCAACTCTTACCATCCTGCTGCCTTCCAGGAGGTAACGCCCACGGGGTAACTGAGAGCACAGTTTGGCCTCCACAAGCCAAGAAAATGTGTTAAGTGCTGTCAACAGAATGTAATCATAATTTGAGTTAAAGGGTATGTGTGGAGACTGTAATAGTCTCCACATGCAGAGGAGCTGAGAGGTGGTAGGTAGATGCAGGTCTAGCAGCTTAGTTGGGCTGTTGCAGCCAAATGCTCAGCTGTTTTTTGCCACAAAGCTTGGCCAGCTTTGGTCAGCAGGGCAGATGAGTGCTGGAGATTAACATAAGAGGGATGGCTCCACTTGAGGAACAAGGTGTTCCTCAAAGATCAGTGGCTTGAAATATTTGCTGGTCTGGAGGAGAGAATTAGATGCTCAGGCCAAGAGCAGCAAAAGCCAGCTCACTCTCTCCTGAAGACACTCCTTCAGTGTGATCAGATGTGGAGGAGAGTCTGGAAATCTTGCCCACAGCACTGTCCTTGCAGCTGCAGGCAGGTTGTGGAGGATGGGGGTTGTGGCATACTCACACGCAGAAGTCCAGGCCATCAGAACCTGGACATAGGCAGACCTCTGCTCCAAGGGGACAACCCCTGGAGGTCAAATACTCCCTGGGCTGCCTGGTCAGCAGGGACAGGACTGCCGCTGCTGCAGCCCTGCAGAGAACCCTGTCACCACAGTGCTATCCAGTTCTGTGTCTGCAGGGACTGAGAGCAAGAGCGGGAGATGCTGAGCTCCCCTGAATGCTGGGGGGCATCTCAGATGGGCAACAAAAGGCAAAGAAAGTGCTAGAGCAGGAGCAGAAGGGAAGAGAGGAGAAATGAGCTTTCAGCACAAGTGTCTGTGGAAACTGAATTATCTCCCAGGACAATGGAAGCTCTTTAGTCTTTCCCACAGTAAATAAGGGGCCAGCTTCTTCTCCGCAGCTCCATCCTGCTTGGGACAGGCAGCAGCGTGGCTGCAGAATAAGGTTGCTCTGGTGTAGGCTGTGATGTTGCTGCATGGTCTGCCTGGGTTAGAGCCCAAACAGGGTTTTCTTCCATCAGCAAGTCCTCCACTCCCTACTACAACCTGCTTGCCTTTCTGCTGCCTGGATGCTGTGACTCTGCCCTCACATATTTGTCTGTGGACACTAGAAATGACTGAGGAGAAAGCCAAGCTGGCACAGTGGTGGGGGAGATCTGTGGATCACCAGAGGAGACCATCCAGCCTCCCTTCCCACACATCCCTGGCCCAGTTCAACCTCTCCCCAGCTGAGCCCTTCTGGGTGGCCCCAGGATGTGCCAGTCTGAAAGTAAGAGACAATGCGTGTTGTGGTCTTGCCCCCGAGGAGTGTGTCTAGGGACCAAGGGCTTGCCTAGTGCTTCCACTCTCTCCCAATTGCTGCTGCTGGCACCGTGCTTGGCACAGAGGAGCCCTCTCTCCTTGAGTGGCACTTGAATGCTGGGAAGTATCACCTCTTTTTGCCATGACCCAGGCCCCTTACTTCTCCCTGGCAAGGAGCGAAGGCCTGACTCTGACCCCAAGGCCTGCATGAAGGGACATGTTTCTGCACAATTGAAGGCAACAGGCACCTCTTCCAGTCTTTCAGAGCCTTGTTTTATTTGCTTGCTTGTTTATGTTTCCTCCTAGGCCAACGCACAGCACATGAGACCCACGCAATTCATACTGATGTCAAAGGCATGGTGTGTGCAAGGCAAGGCCAGATTTAAGTCTCTGAGTTCAAGGTGACCCATCTGCTGCTAATGAAGATGTGTCCTGGAGGAGAGTTCATTCCGGCTTCCCATCTTGCCCTGTGCTCTCCTGACAGATTGCCCACCCAGCCATGCCAAGAACATGGTGCAAGATGAAGTCACCTGGCTATGGGTGATGCCAGGTGACATGGGACCATCTTGAAGAGGGATATTCCACAGATGTCCAAGGATTTTACCAGTCTTGAACTCAAGCCAGACCCTCATTTTGGTGGAGTCAGGTGTTTAGGAGGCTTTGGGACCATGTGCATGTGGCGAGGAGGTTGGGACACTCCCTGAGCAGGGCATGCATGCAAGTTCTCTGGATTGCACCAGGACTAGACTTGTGTTCAGGGCCTCAGAGCCCCCTCCCAGCCCCTCTACCCACAAGCACAGACCCCTCTGCAGCGGCAGTACAGCCAGACCAGCTTGCACAGGTGCAGGGAGAAAGTCCAGTCTGCCACCACCCCAGGCAGCACCGTGCCCTGGGCATCTGCTTTCTGGGCTGGTGCCTGGAGCCAGCCCTGCTCCTGCCCTCAGAGTGTGGTGATGAGTGAACGTGCAGTGGGGCTGACCCAGAGACACCAGCCCTTTTCTGCAGGCTGTGCTGGAGGGGATGAACACACCTGAGCAATTTAGCACAGAGAAGAAAACAAGTGACTCACAGGGTTTCCAAGCTGTGCAGCCCATCAAAGCCATTGGCTCCCAGGCTTTGGATTCTGTTGTTGTGCAGGTGCCTGTGGACAAAACAGAGATGTTCAGTGGAGATGACCTTTTCCTGCCAGTCTGAGCCATGGCTCAGGGACATCCTGCAAGCTGAGCACAGCCTGGGCTGGGACGACAAAGGGTGTTATAAGGTCCCCTCTCTTGCCCCGTGAGACACATGCTAGGTGCAATAGTGCTTGCAGAGCAGCTACAAAGCTCCCATTTCTCCCAGGAAATCCAGGCTGATGTAGGAGTTTCCCAGAGACCTCCACTTCACAGCTGGTGGGTGACTCTGGATGAACATGCTTAAGCAAGACGCTTCAAGAAACACTCTAGATCTCACCTTACATTGGCCCCAACCCTACAAAGTACCATGTGGCTTCAGCAGTCATTCATGGGCACCAGGTGCTATCTAAGGACACAGTCATATTTGGACTCTTCAGAGCCTTAGTAGCAGCAAGAAGGCTTTGAGCTGAAAATCATCCTGTTAGTCACAGTTTATTATCTTTACTTGCAAAAAAAAGAAAATGCTGCCAGTTCCTGGATTAGCTCCATTGTGATTGCAATGAAAGTTGTCTTCAGTTTAATGCTTCAGAGTGTCTGGCTGAAGTGCAGGAGCCATGTGACAGGCTGATACACATTCTCTGCACTGTGCCCCTTCATCCTGGTGCTACACGCCACAAACATCTAGTGCTTAAGGCTCTGGACCTCCCAGCCTTAATGCTGGTGCTGGAGAACCATGTGTTGGGGCCCCCCTGGCTTGCAAATTCACCTGGGGTGTTTTTGCCTTGGAAGCTCCATAGATGATAAGTTCCCCTGGAGTCCCACTTGCTGCATTGTCTGTTTCCATGGGCCTCTTACCTCCATGTCTCAGTTTTTTGGCAAACCCAAGACATTAATTCCTGGATTCCTCCTCTCCAACTGTCAGAGACTGTGTGTGCATGTGCACATCTGAGTGTTTTAGCCACTGGGCTTCTTTTACAGCTGGTGGGAGCCACATGGCTCATTGTGCACCTCCCTCTGAAATCCCACTCAAGGGCACCTTGAATTCCATACGGACAGACCTTGGAGCAGTCTAAGGAAAGTCTGCTGAAAACCAGGAGAAGACAACCCACTGCTGCCCAGCCTGCACTTCTACCAGCCTGCACTTAAGCACATTAGTGATGTCCATGCTTGCACAGGGATTGTCTGTGCAGAGAAATGCCTGCTGAGGAGGTAAGGTCCTCTGGGGCAGGATACCCTCTTTGGTCTCTGTAAGGGTAGGTTTCTCTATCAGTTCATTTTACAGTTCAGGTTCTCCTTTAACAGAGAGTGCCATGTGGTTACCCTGCTGTCACACTGCCTTTGGGATCCTTTTCTCCTTGCCCATGCTCAGAGATGCACCAGCCTTTGTCCAACACTGCTGCCTCCTTCCAAGAGCCTGGGGGAGACTCCACACTGGCAGGTGGATCAATGACTTTTTCGTTATTTGCTGCTTGATCTAAATCTGTCTCAGCTTGAAAAATTTCTCACTCCACCTGGATTCAAGTGTGAGCAGCTTGGCTGAGCACAGGCAGCTCCGACTGCCAAATATTCTAGAGTAAAACAGGAGGGAGCTGGGAGTGGAGGAACAGCCAGGCTCTAGGGCAGTTTGGTAGGGGCTTGCAAAACAGAAACCAGCCCAAGCCGGATGTTTGTTGTTGGGATGAGAACATACAAACATTTCAGAGGAAGAGGAAGGGAGGGGAAAGATGTGTGATAAAATATGTTTGCTCTTTAAGCAAATGGGAAAAAAGGAAAGGAAGTTGCCTGCAAGAAAACTTGGTTTGATTGTGACTCTTAGAGGAGAAAAGAAGCTGAGATCAAAATCAGAATTTTACAGGAGAAATTTCTCTTCGTCACAAGAAAAGAAGTTCAAGTCCAAATGGTTTCCTCTACCAGATATTATGGGAAAGCTTCAGATCATGTTGTCCTTACTTCACTTGGCACTTCCAGTGCAAGATGGTGCCAACAATTTTGGGTCCCTTTGAGTACCGGATACTGCATTTGGCAAATCAAAGGTTTGGATCTGGAGTTGCTCTGTAATCGCAGCAAAAGGTACCACAGGAACCGCTTGCCCCATACCTCTGTCTGCTGCAGGGAGACAGCGTGTGGAGAAAGAAAATGCTGAATGCTGGGGAAGACATGAGCTCCTTGGAGCTTTGTCGGGGTGGTACAACAGGACACGTTGTCTAAGCTCAGACATGCTGAGCAGCTGACTACTATCACTCGAGTTAGGCAAGGAGACGGAATAGAAAAGCAATCACCTGCTGTGTTTATATTTGGCTCTAAAATGCTTTGTTTGGAGTCAGAGTAATGAAAATCATCAGAAGGAAGTTCTTTGTTGGTGAGAAAATTATGACCAACTGAAAAAGAGAGTTATAAAAAAATTTGCTGTCCAAGTTGAACTCTAGAGTTGCTACCCAACCACATGGCAATAATAGAAACAAGAGAGCTGGAAAGGTAAACACTTGAAAAGATGTTCCTTTCTTCCATCCTGCCTTTTTTTCTCCACTGGTAAACAAATTTTAACAAGTGGAATTGCAACATCTCCAGTGTTTGTCAATTTGAGCTCAGCCCACACGACGTTATATTCTGCCCTGTAAATTACAGCTGGTTTGATAGCAGCTCGAGATACTTGGTTCTGAGCTATAAACAACCCTCTTGTGATGCAAAAACATTAGAAGCCCTTAAGCCCTTGCTATTGGAGCTAGTATCCACCACTGTCCTCAGTAAGATCAATGAACTTTGAGATCTATGTATCTCCCTTTGCTTTTTTCATTTGTGCCCCACAAAAAAAGTGCACAGCAGTTTCTAGAAGGAAGATTTTCTGTCCTTGCCTATAATTTCTTATCACAAATTGGGCATAAATGTTTTTTTTCCAAGTCATCCCTGCAGCACTCCTAGTAGAATTTGTTTCATTTTCATTTCACTCCCTTTTCTATATATTTTTCTAGTGGATTAAAAGATCCTGGAGAACAGTCTTGTACTGAAGTGAAAGACAGTCCAACACAGGCATTAGTGCTGTGAGCTCCAACTCTGGAAATGCCACCTCCAAGGGGACAGGACACCTCTGTCAATTTGTCTTACACACAAGGGAAAGCAGGTTGAGCTAATGTGCTAAATACTAGTTCAATGAAGGTCCTCGTCTGCATGAACAAGAGAGTAGACTGTAAGGAAAGGGAAATTATATTACAATTATATTAGATTATATCCTCTGGAAGGATAAATGTATTTCTGGTACCCACATTGTTAACTGTATGTTGATAATTTGGAATGGGTGCACAGAAGAGCAATAAAAATGATCCAAGAGCTTGAAAAAATTAGGATGGAGACTTAGAGAACTCAATCTACTTAGCTTATTAAAAATAGGATCAAGGGGATGAGTGCCTCATAATGTATAGGATTCTTCCTAGTTAGAAAATGGGTACTGAAATGGTTCTGTGATTTAGTGGAGAAAAGTATAATAAGAACAAATGTCTGAAGTCAAAGCCAAAGAAAATTCAAATGGGAAATATGAATACTTTTTTTTTTTTTTGTTAACACTAAAGATGATTAACCACTGGAACAAACTACAAAGAGAAGTGGAGGATTCTCCATTGCTTTCATTTCTAATGACTTCATTTTTTCTTCTCAAAAAGGACAAATGCAAACATTTTCCATCAGTTATTTGCATTAGATGATTTGAACCAAGTTCAAATCTGACATGATATGAATTCTTCCACTGGACCAGCCATTGCCATGATGAATTTCCAGCTCTATTGTGGCAAAATTGTCCTTTTCTTCAATTTGGTCATGGATAAGTAGAGAAACCTAAATCATAAATGGTGCAGATTCCTATGGATTATTTCTGGCAGTGAAGGACAAGCATGAGACTTGTCTGGTGAAGAATAAAACTTGATCAGAAGTGACATTGTCAGGAGTGTGTTGGAGTGCTATTCGCTTCTTCCTCAAGTGTTGGAGAGGGAAACTCACTTTTGCCAAGGCAGCATGCTCGTTCCTCAGAAAGAAAAGACACTTTTGCAAATTAAAAGGCCCATGAATGGGACCCAGATGTTCCAGGCGATATTGTTCTTAGTAATAATGAATTGCACATGCTAACACCGAGGTTCCCAAGAACTTCTCAGAGAGGGACTTAACTCCCTTGTACAAGTGAAGGTAGAGATGCACAGGTTCATCCTGACACTGATCTAACAGACTGGAGTTTGTTGTGCCGGGGAGCTGAGTCCCACAGATGTCAGCTGAAACTACTGGTGCTCAGTTGCCCTGGAAAGCAGGGATGAGTTGTTTGATGTTTGCTCCCAGGCAGGGAGGAAACTGAAAATCAGTGGTCCCTTTTGAAAGTTTTGGCCAGAGTAACACCAGAACAAGGACCAAAATGGGAATGGGAACCCAGAGTCTTGGAAATTAGTTTTCTCCTCTAGTCACTAAACCATGTTGTTAGAGAGCCGCATCATGCCCTTACATGATAAAAACTGTAAGAAAGAGAAATTCTACTAAATATACTTAATTTACTGTCTTCAGATCTTGACACATTCAGTTGGAAGATCTTGCTGGGTGATGTAGGAGGGAAGCACTTGCAGGTGAGTGGCTTATCCTCAACAATAAAACTTCAGCTGAAATTCAGGTTGCATGAATGTAAAGTGATGTAAAGGGGGAAAAAAGAGTCTTATATGAGCATATGCAGTAATGGGCTCTTAGATATCATAGAATCAGAATCGTTTAGGTTGGAAAAGACCTTTAAGATCATCCAGTCCAACCATTAACCTAACATTACCAAGTCCACCACTAAACCAATTAAGGGTATAGTAGTGATTTCATGTTTCCTGGCTTGGTGGCTGGATTATTTATAATGAAAGTAAAAACTAGGAATCATTAAGATTGGGATGGACCTCTAAGATCATCAGTCCAACCATCAACCCAACACCACCATGCCCAGAGTGCCACGTCTACCTGTTTTTTGAACACCTCCAGGGATGGTGACTCCACCACCTCTCTGAGCAGCCTGTTCCAATGCTTGACCACTCGTTCTGTGAAGAAATTTTTCCTAATATCCAATCTAAACCTCCCCTGGTGCAGCTTGAGCCCATTTCCTCTCATCCTATCACTAGCTACTTGGGAGAAGAGACCAACACCCACCTCACTACAACCTCCTTGCAGGTAGTTGTAGAGAGCGATAAGGTCTCTCCTCAGCCTCCTCTTCTCCAGGCTAAACAATCCCAGTTCCCTCAGCCGCTCCTCATCAGCCCTGTGCTCCAGATCCTTCACCAGCTTCCTTGCCCTTCTCTGAACATGCTCCAGCACCTCAATGTCCTTCTTGTATTGAGGGGCCCAAAACTGGACACAGGATTCCAGGGGCGGCTTCACCAGCGCCGAGTCCAGGGGACAATCACCTCCCTGCTCCTGCTGGCCACACTATTCCTGATACAAGTCAGGATGCTGTTGGCCGCCTTGGCTACCTGTGCACACTGCTGGCTCATGTTCAGCCAGCTGTCAACCAGCACCCTCAGGTCCTTTTCAGCCAGGCAGCTTTCTAGACACATATATCTACAGGAAGGAGCTCTTGGTGTTTAGTAGCTGTCAAAAAAGAAAATCAAATGATAGGAATGACTAGAAAAGAGAAAATGGGATACAGAACAGCATTATGCCATTGTATAAACTCGTTGATTTTTGTCTTTGCTACAGTGTGCGGTTCTGGTCTCTCCACCTCAAAGGTGCAGAGGAATAAACAAGTGTGATGCGTAGACTAACTTCTGATTGCAAAAGAGGTAACTGGATGGAGACTGGAAAAGCCACAATGAGAGAAGGGTATGACAGACAGTATCAAATACAGAGATGGCACAGAGGAAGTAGAGACAGAGTGCAAGACTTAGGGGGCGTTAAGCAAAACTAACTGGTAGTGGCATGAAAACAACTTTCCCAGAGTCCTTGTTTTTGAAAGACTTGTGTGCAGGCAGACAAGGGACAGGGGCAGGTAAGAGGAGTGGAGCATCTTTTTTGCATTATGGGGCCAAGTTGTCTCACTGGCTCCAAGCTCACTCCATATGAAGCATCAAATTCTGGGTCCTTTTGACAGCAGGTTGTTCAGCATTGCAGGAATGGTTGAGTCAGCAGAGTTTCCAGCAGCTAAGGCTCCCTGTGGACCCAAACAGAGAAGGATCTGGGTTTTGACCTCGTGTGCTCTAACTTAAGGGATTCCCTGCCCTGTGATGAAAGTAAAACTGCCCAAAGACTTTCTCTAGCCAGGTCCATCATTGCAGGGCTGCAGAGCAAACCTCTCTATTGCCTGGCCAGTGTAGGAGAGGGCACCCTGACTCTGTGTCCCATTCACATCCTAGCATCTCTGCTGAGAGCACTCACAGCTCCTTTGGTGACACCAGGAAAGAAGGGAACTGCAGCCCATTTCAGAGATGTGGCAGCAGGCACATGACTGTGGTGTTGGGGGAATTCCTGGCTATGGTTCCCAAGTTGTTTATGTGAGAATTTACCTCAGGGCTAGCAGGTCTCTCTGGGGACTGAGACTGAAAGAGGTGCTGTGATTCCTGGTTTGGGAGTTGACTTCTGCTGAATTCAGCCAACAGAGGAGATGAGGGACACTAACAGATAAAGTGCTGTCATGCACTTTATCAGCCTGCTGGCACAGCAGCATGGGGATTTCAGATGCTTGCTTCTAAATGAAAAATCTTTTATGCACAAGAAAGAAGATACTTTTTGTAAAAAACCCTTTGATTCACACGAATCATTAGCTGAAAAATACTCAGGACTATCTGCTTGTAGATGCTAAGACACATTCTGTCCTGAATAGAGCAAACTGGGAGGTAAGATCTTCAGTATCCCATTCCCATGAGCCATCCTGATCAAACAAGTCATCTCCCTTCTGCCATCAGCAACACAGTGCCAACATCACAGCACATGAAGCCCTTGTTATCAAAGCTGGGGAAAGGATGGTGCCAATTACCGAGACTCATAGATTTCATCATGAGTGATTTATATGAGGCTTTGCTTACTGAACACCCTGCAGCCCTAGTTAGAAACCTGTAGCAGCAATAGGTGGGAATAAGATCAGGGAATTCCTCAACAGACGTGTAATTTATTAGCAGAGACTGAACCCCTTAACTTGTTCCAGATTGAGGCTTGTATATTCTGATGTTGGTGCTTTGTGTCAGTGCTGGATGATCACCCACATCTGCCCCAAAGGCCCAAGGTGTGTGGAGGAGGAAAAGCACATCTCTGCACCTGGGAAGGTCATGCCCTCAGCCTTGGTCAGCCGTGTCCATGAGTATTAATCAGGCTGTATATGAGAGATTCCCCTGTGCTCCTCCACATCTGCCCTTGGCTCTCCTCCTCCAGGTGCTCATTTTAATACCTCTCAGGCTAGAAGTTTCCGGATGTTTATGGTAGCAGCCAGCTCTTCTCAATCTACGTGCAAATTCAGACACTTCCAGAGGAATGCACATATTTATCATCTGCATTCTTGCAAGCTTTACTGCCTAGCTCGGCTGGCTTTTGGGAGCGTGTGCTTCTCAGCTTGGTGGGTGAGTCTGAAGCAGGGAAACATCTCTGGTAGGGGCGCAGGAAGAACACAGGATGACTTTCCACTGGCTGCGCACTGACAAGGGTATGCATGGAAGCATAGGAAAGATTTATGGGGCCAGTTCTGCCAAACACTTGTGATCCCACAAAAATTTAGCATCATGTCCCACAGCGCCTGGCAGGATCACACATGTGTTCCCTTCCAATTGTCTGTGGTGGGACATTATTCTCTCCCTTGTGACCTAATGGTCAATGACTTTTATTTCTTGAGCTTGCCTGTTTAATTAAGGAGTTGCTTCTCACCCAAAGTATGGGATAAGCCAGAATGAAAGCAGCATGCTTTTGAGACTGAAATAAAAACCCAAATGTCAGCTCACCCTCCCTGCTAGCTATTAAAGCTGAGTGAAGTGGTTGCATTATGATGGTCATGGGATGCCTTGTAGAATGAGCACTATTGTGGGTGAAAACTACTTATTTGACATTTCTAAAGTTGCTTTTAGCATTTCTCCTAAATAAGCCTTTACACTTTGTCTGAACAGCTGAAGTTGATGCTTAGTAAGACTCTGGACTGTGCTTTGTCCAAGCACTTTCTATGCTAAATGGCTTCAGTAAACACTTTAAATTTTGAAAGTGAAATAATTGGTAAACTTTCACTAAGGCACCACATGCTGAGGTTACTTAACATCCTGGTATAGTATTACCAAACTAAAACGTAGCATTTTATGTAGATACAGGATCTCTAAAGTAATTGGCAGTCACACCTGAACTTGCTAATCAACACCAAAAAAGTAATGACTAGCTAATTTGCACATGTAAACTTCCCTTTAAAAGCTAGATAATATACAAGCCTCTGTTGATTGAAAGGATGCACCTCCTGATGTAACTTCCACTTCCAATCAGTTTGCTTTCTGATTACAGGCTGCAGAGTGTTTTAGTGTGTCTCACTGCTCATGAAGTAAATGTTTCCCTCCCGGACCAGGTACCCTCTGAGAGCAACACCATTCTCTACATTGCTCTGAACACCGTTAGTAAAAAGTTTATAACGTGAACCGGACAACAACATGCACCATGGGGTTGTGATCACCGCAAAGAAAATAATTAATCTGCATATATAACACAGTCATGCAAATAAGCAAGCACAGGCTTGGACAAGGTGTTGAGGTTAGACCTTTCGTTCAAAATCATATTTGGCGAAAAAGTTTTCTTGGCATGTTTTCCGAGAAAAAAAAAGTGCTTTTTGACCTGACTGCAGGTTGTTGCAATATTCTTTTTTTTTCCATGTTGATAGAAATTCCTGTAGTTTTAACACAGGGGTTGGAGCGGGAAATAGAAATGAGAAGCTTTTTGTTGCTTGAATCTTCAGGGAAAAAAAATCTGCTTTTTGTTTCCAGGTACTGGGTTTTTTTTAAAATGCAAGGCATTTTTTGAATGATATTGGGGAACTTTTTGGCTCTTCAGTGAAAAGTGGGGAAAATATTAAAAAAATCAAAAGAGGCAATTTTAGCATTTAATATCAAATGGCAGGAATTCCTTGACTATCCTAAACAAAACCTCTGCCTGCTGTCCCTGCAGCAAAAAGCTGCTCCTGGGGAGCGACCACCAGGTCTTCCCAAAGTAGGAGGACCCCATTTGCCAGGCACAGTCAAAACCTTGTCCCAGCCGGAGGATGTTGTGGCTGCGAGGGAGTAACAAGCAGAGAAGGCTTACAGCACCACGAGGCTGCTGAGGTTCTGGAAGGCATAATCGGGAATGTGCCAGATCTGGTTGAGAGCCAGGGTCATGGCTTGCAGCGCTGGCAGGTGGTTCAGAGCTTGGACAGGGATCTCCGTCAGGGCATTATCGTCCAGCCACAGGTGACGCAAGGAGAGCAGCCCCTCAAAGCTCTTCTCGGGCACCACAGAGATAAGGTTTGCATCCAGGCGTCTGAGTGGGAAAGAAACAGGGTGGGGATAAGTGAGAGATGGATCTAGCATTGCTTTACGTACCCACAGTGTTATGCAAAGGGAGTTTTGATGCTGAGGCGGGATGGATTGATGGCCAGGGAGATTGGATTAGGCTGTAAATAGTGATTAGCATAAGGAGGTCCTGGTGCAAGGTTCCTGTCTGTGCTTGGAGTTGTTTGTCCACTGCCAACTGATGACCCCTTCTTGATGGCCAGCTAGTTATGCCAACTGATGGCAGCATCTTAAAAAAAGTGCTTTGGCTAAGTCCTTTCACATGGACCCACCAGATGGACACTGGCCAGCTGTGGCTTGCAGGCACCCCCTTAAAAATGAGCATCAAAGCTGCATCCCCTGGGGCTGGGCTTGCTGTGGATCTGCCTGAGCCGATCTGCAGAGGCACAGCCCTATTTGGGGTACCCCACAGCCCGCTCAGACCCACTGCTGTGGGCAAGCCATGTGGCCAAAGCCTTGTTCCAGAAGAAAAGGATTTGTCTGGAAATGCAAAGTATGCATTGGGACTGCTTTGGGACCTGCGTTTGATCCGACCAGCCAGAGCTACCTGCAGAAGTACCGTGAACGAGTCAGACCATATGTCATTGTGCAGGAATTAAGCCTGCCCTCTCTGTATCACACATGTTCAGGCCTTTCTTTCTCCTTGATTTGCCAATTGCTTTTTTTTTTTTTTCTTTTATAATCATGGAAACCTTAAGGCAGTTGAATCTGGGGTTTAATTTGGTGAGAAACTTTAATTTTTAAGACTTGTTTTTGTTCCAAAACAGAATGAGAAGCCCAAAAATATTAAGCTTATGAAAAAAAAAGTTAAAAAACTAGGTTTGAGAATCATGTCTTTTAAAGATCTCTTTTTTCAGCAATGGTGAGCAGGATACAATGTGTAATCTGTAGATTTTAAAATCAAAATGTAAGAGGAAAATGCTTCAAATTTGGATGAAATACCAGGAACCAATCATACCAAGGAGAAAGAAAATTCTGATTTCCATCAATGGCCAGGAGAGGAGAGGAGAGGAGAGGAGAG